CCTCCTACATGCCTTAGCTATTTAAGCAGTTACTGTTTCTTTGACCTCCTGGGGTACTGGGCTTTTGCCTTTCAGAAACAGCTGGCTCTGTTAACCATTTCCAGTTCCACACAAGGTGGATCGTATGACTCTCACTTTATCACCCCTGGAGGCCACCTCAAGGACAAAGAAAAGAGATACACTTAAAACTAATGTTTTTATACGGGTGGGAAGGATTGCACCATGATCTCATGATGAACACAAGAGAACAGGCCCATTAGAACCTGAAACCTTGTTCTGTTTCCTTCCATCTTAATTTGCCATTTCACACATTATTTCACTGGAAGTAGATGTTCTTCAAGCTGCCTGAAGGTTTGGCAGGCTGTCACCCAGCCGTGCTTGCAGGGAATGCTGTGGTTTTTAGCTTTCACAGCCTCTGGAGACAAAGGTTCCTATTTATTTGTCCTGATACACACTGATGCCTCTGGGCCTTCTAAAAAGAAAGGCCATGTAGAGCTCTTGCATGCATACCCTCAGAGAAATTCTAAATACTTGTGAAAATATTTAAGTTTTGTTGCTTTATAGTGAACTGTTACAATGTAGGTAAACTGCTAAACTGTACTCACCACCAATAGCATTGCAATTACCACTCAGGAGAACCTTCTCTATTTTGTCTCAGCTGCCACGGGTATAATGTTGGCCATGGTTACTTTTTCCACAACAAATAAAGCTGGAAAAACTGAATAAATATACACAGCCTGTAGACACTTCATTTACAGTATCCGTAAGTCACACAGTTGGGAGTTCCCCGAACAGCTGATTCACACACTCGCAGCCCATCTTGCAGAGACAGCCCCAGAATGTGCTAATGTCGGTGACAGTTTGGTATGTGACAGAGCACAGCGAGGTCAGGGGAGAAGCCTTTAAACAAGGATGGGTTTGCCTGTTTTTTTATATATATGTGTGCGTGTGCATATAGAGCGTCAGAGCAGAATTAAGAAAAAGGATAGACTGACTCCTAATTAAACTTTACTACCATGAATTGCTTTATGATTTATTTTCTTACTACATGCTTTGTTATGTATATAATTATTCAATCAATTTGTATTCTCTGAACTATTGGCAGTGAGGCTGTACTGTGCAGAGGGAGAGATTGCAGAGTTTAGTGCAGTTTACACCTGCAAATTACTATGAAATAAGGGGCGGTTTTGACTGGGGGGGGTGGTGTCCCTTTGGGCGGGGGAGGGCTTTTAAGGCCTATTAGAAACAGTTGTTGAGAGTCGTAAGACTTCACTAGCATGAAAACCAAATCACAGCTGCTGATCTAGAGTGAAGGAAGAAACTTATTCCAACCCATCGCCTACACAGGAACCTTCCCCTTTCCAAGTGTCACACAGCCTCTACTTCTGTGCCCAGCACAAACTTTGGCGCATCTCTGTGGCTTACGCCATTCTTCAGCACCCTGAAAGTATTTGTAGCGTGGAAAATAACACATATGTTAACACAAGAAAACCAAAAGCCTGTGGGTGAACTTAAGCTGCTACAGAATTGCTGTGCGATTGCGCTACAGAACTTGGGTCCATCTTGCGGCCGAGCGTACAGATCTCCAGCCAGTGATGCTGCTGGAAGGTTGAGTTTCCTTCCCTACAGTCTTAGCTGAAGAACCAAGGTCACAGCATCTGGAGAGCGCCTCGCACTGACACACAGCCCCGCGCAACGGCCTGGGTGAACTGCAGTGTGCTATACGAAACAACGATGGAGGGCAGTGCCTGACTACACCAGACAGTTTATGTCATAAAACAATTCAGCAAGACAAGGCAAAAGCTACCAGTCAAGAGTTTCTATGTAACCTGCACTACTTCACTTATGCTTTTTATGCTGGGAGATGTGTAAACTTAATGCTAACAAAACAGTTTGCTGTTTTGCTAATAAAGCCAGGGTATTTTAGCATTAATTCAAAATTTGGTCCTTTATTAGGTATCTTAAGTTTACAAATGGTAACAAATTTGTTTGAAGAAAACACACCAAATCACGATTCCAAGGGCTCTTCAAAATACTTCTCCTTTAAAACAGTCTTTGATCATTTTGTGTTTAAATACACATGATGTGTTTCCTGATTTTCATTAGGTTACAGGAATTGTATTAACATCACAAACAGTTTTACCTGCAATGCCAGACACCGTTCACTGAAATACTGTCCTTTCACAGCTTAGTCCTTGATATCTTCACAGGCTGATTAACTGATTTTCTTCTGACTTCTACTATTCTTTGAGTCCCAGAGTATAACAACATTAAAATACACCAAAAATAATAAAAAATGTAAGCAAGAAATAATAGACACAGATACAGGGAATAAATCCGGTAACCTCTGTGGAGGATGCACTGCAGCGCTCATTAGAGACAGGATGCCCATCAGGGTTATGGAAAGAAGAAACTGTAAGATAGGAATGGTATATTAGCTAATGGTGATTTAACACCTCATACGAGTAAGCTGTTACTTTTGTTACTTGGGTGCTTTGTATTCTTGAATCTATACGTAGATGACATTGCAGAAAAAAATTATAGCACGCCTCTACCCCAAGATAGTGTGGCTTTCCCTGTTTGGGGCTTGATGCAGAGTTATGGACCTAGAACTGGTTTATGCAAGCATTTCAGTAGCACAAAGAGCTGTAGGAAAGAGTTTTAGGAATTAGAATTGCTTACCAGACTCCTGACAATCTTGGGAAATGACTTAAACCAAGAAACATATCCCTTCAGGGAAAGGGAGAAGGGTTTCAGCTGCAGGTCTTCTGCTGAAGTCTTCTCAAATATGGAAAAGGAAGCCACGCAGACTGACAGGAACGCCAGCATTGTCACAGCGTAGGCCAGCAGCAGGCCGTCTTTCAGTAGAAGAGGCAACATACTGATAAAACAGAATTACCCGCAGAAGCGAGTGCGCATTCCGAGTTACATTTCAGAGGAAAAAGAATACATTTATTTACTAGCATTGGCGAAAAACGTGGTTTTAAAATAACGTTAATAGCGTCCAACTCACCTGAAAGTTGATACAAGTAAAAACCACGTAGCCATAAAAGGGATTTCATTTATGATTAAGCAGACTGGTCTAGAATGAGAAGAGGAAAAACAGATAGGCAAACACTGAAGTGACAGCACTTCATCCTCGCAACAGGCTACACCCCACTGACCCCCAACAGGCAAATCCTCTGCCCCACGGGGGGGCCTACAGCAGGAGAGCCGCTCGGCTGCGCACCACCAGCACGCACAGACAGCCAGGTTAGAGCCCGCGCTGCGGAAGGCTTCTGGTTGGCTTTGAGGAGCACCTGTACTGCAGCTTCCAGACAACTGCCTGCAGAGGTAACAGGAGTTCTCTAACCACCAGTTTAGCCTTCTGGTCAGGCACGAAGGAGAAGAGTTAAGAGGGCTGCCTCTCCAAACCTTCGTCAAACATTACTTTCAGGTACATATAGGACATCCAAGCAGAGGAGCAAAGTTGCTGCCTGCCCCTGCTGCCCTCACCTCCTTTGGGGCAGGGGATGAGAAAAACATACCTTAATGACAAAGGGAGAGAAGGCCCCCTTACTGATGCTGTGAGCGAGGTATCCATCACCCAGTTCAATTTACCACCATGCTCCAGCCTTGCTGGGCAGCTAAGTACAAGACTGCTGCCTATGGCAGCATGGCCTTAACCAACCCCACAGCCAGCCTGTCCCTGGACAAACAGCTATGCTCTGTGCCACACTGTGCTCCAGGAAACACGGTCTGGCCCAGAGGGATGAGTGACGCCGGAGAGACCAGCATGGCTGCATTTATATACTTCCATTTACAAGTTATTCAGAAAAGCAAATGTGTAGAGTTTTTAAAATCAGATGTATTTGTTATTGCATGCCGCTTTCTCACTTACGAGATGAGGAAAAGATGATCAAAATATATCCACAGAATAATAATTTACTTACACTGACACTAGAAGAATAGATTTTTCATGTACTTGAAAGGAGAACAGGAAAAATGACAATGCACAACTAACCTTAGAAAAGGAAAACAGAGCTATATTAGTATATGTGACCGCAATGCAAAGCACTGTTTCAGTTTCTCTGCTGGCATAGACTTTACATGAATGTATGAGCTAAATGATCTGATTTTTCTAATTAACTGCTACATTTACTCCAGTGCAATTTACAAGCACACAGAGCTGCTCCCGTAACCACCTACACATACTAAAAAAATACATTGTTTGAAAGTTTACCCAGAACTATTCAGAAACTGCTTCATGTAAAGAGTCCTCACTCTTCCTTAGCTTTACTGACAAAAGCATCCCCACCAAGTAAGCACAATATTCACATACATAAGCGCTGGCAAAGTTCAGTCGTGGTGAGAACTACCCACCTTTTTGACATAAAATTTTGCTCATCATCATGAACAGCCAATACATCAAAGTAAACAGTCTTTTTTCCCCACCAAATAAAAACACACTGTAAAATATAAACCAATCCTTAGAAAGGATAAATGTTAGTTTTAGGCAATGTTGCAATAAAATAAATAGGTATTATCTTGTAACTCTTGAAACCTTAGGACCAGCCCCATATAATTTTTATTTCAAGGAAAACTGATTTTTGGATGTAAGTCATGTTAATGTGCTTAAATTCAATTATATAATATGACTAAGAAAAGGCAGACATTCGGGAAAACGGTATAATTTTCTTTTCAAACTGCTAATGAGCTTACAACATCCATCTCTGGACTGCTTTTATTGAACTTTGCAGCCAATGCAGTTAAGAAAACTAGCACTTTGGAAGCTAAATAAAAAGAGGAGAAACTCCAACTCGGTATGAGGCTTTACTACGTACAGAATCTTCTAAAGACTCTTCAGAGGAAGAAATAAAAATACAGCATTAAAGAAAGAAAACTAAGGCTAAGGCAAAAAAGTCTGGATTTACAAGACAGGTCAGACCCCCCCGGACATGGGATAATAAAACACTTTTAAACCAATCTCTTCAGCAGAAACAGCAGCATTTAATGGTATGCACACTTCTGCACACTGCAGCAACTGTAAGTAGAACTGCTGGTCACACACCAGGGCTGGATATAAAACAAGGAACAGTTAAAAACATACACTTACCAAAGCAAACTTAAATCCTCGGAGAGAAGGCTGGACAGTTAGTTTTATACAAGTAGGAAGCAGGCTCAGGAATGTTACAGCGAAACTACAGAATTTTTGTAAGAAAAACAGTTTTAATACATGAGTAACTACATCCGTGATCTCATATAATCACTTCTGAAAACTATAAGTTAGGAATTCAGTTGTGATTTTCAGAAGTGCAAAGTCACTCAAGGAGACTCAATCACAGGAGAAGAGCACTGAATCTTCAGGTCTTCAGTGACATAAGCACTTTTGAGAAAAGAATAAAGGATTTCCATTAATATTTCAGACTCTGTAGACCTAGACTTAATTCCTCACTTAGTCAAAACCCAGAATTGTGAACTCCAACTTCTAAGAACACTAAAAGCAGTAATCCTTTGAAGAGGAAAGCATGGCAATTTTAACTCAGTTTTAACCAATCAAGTAGCTTAAATCACTATATAAACAAGCAGAAAATTTTTCAGTCATAAATATTCCTAGCAGTACTTGGAGAAACCCTCATCTCTTGGGAGATAAGTACAGTACAGGAAAGAAAACATTTTTGCAAGATTTTAAACCCCACTTCTCATAATTATTTGACAAAAATTACTCATTTTACAAAAAATAATGCAAATTAAAAAAAACACCTAAAGCACTTCAGTTATGTCTTACCTAAGTTTTAGCTGAGTTTGATGCGACACTATATTCTTTATCTTTATAAGGACACTTAGACTGCACCAAATATTGGCTACTTTATCCTAGAAGGGGAAAAAAAAGTAATTAGTGATAATTACATTTATTTAAACTTATGTTTGTGACAACAGTGGGGCTTGGGAGGTGGGGGATTGTTGGGTTTTTACCATGATACTGCAAAAAGACACTTGCAGATATATGTCATACTCTTAGATGTACTTTAAATTATTCTGATCTTCAAAAATTGAAAGTTTCAAGAGACTCAATTAAAACATGTTCTAAAATAACTGAGAAAGTTCTTCAGCACAAGAGACTACTGCTTAACTCATGTGAAAATAAGGCTCTGAAACTATCTGTCCTTGATTAAACACCAGCATATATGATTCTTTTTTCAAATGTGAAGACATTCTGTCACATTTCATTACACACCTGAATGTATTTAGCTGTGCTTACTGCTAGCTAGCAATGACAGAGTTAACCTCTTAATAAATCAAGAAGTCTAAAGACATTAGCAGTTGTGCTAGGATCGCTTTCAAAATTAAATTTGTAACTACAGCTATCATGCTCGTGAAACTCATCCCCAAACAGCTGCTTGAATCACAGCTGTGTAGACATAACAGCAAGAAAGCTACTAGCACCAACAACTGAGCCATCTTCCTCATATGCTCACTAGCAATATAGAATATGCACTTCAAATCTGCTGAGGATTACAAGTGAACAGAGGGTTTGGCAGCACCAGCAAACACACAGGACGCCTATTTAATAGCCAATACGATTTTACAACCATCAGCATTTGTTACTGCTTCTGTAAATGGGAACCAATTCAAAGAACCTGTTACACGCACCCCAGTATAAATTTACTGTGCATTGCTTACGTGGACAATTTCTCATTTTATCTAGATTAGCATCCAGCAAGTCACTCCCCTGATCAACTCAAAATATTTGGGCTAATATTAGACTAAAATCCTTAAGCTCTTTCGGACTCACTGGTTATTGCCATTTACAGATTTTATTTTTAAACTTCATACTGAGTAAGAAATGAGGTGACCAAAACTACTTATTTATAAAGTCCAGAAAATTTCCAAAGAATAGGGTCTTTTGGGGGTTGCTTTGGGGTTTTTTGGGGGTGGTGGGTGGGTGAGGCAGGGAGGAGTTTAAAATAAAGCAGTAGAGAATACACTGAGAACGTTTCTGTACCGCTGCTGAAATAAAATGCTGCCTTTGGTATATCAGCACAAACTTTTAAAGAAAAACGCCAGTTGTGATATTATTTAAAGAAGATAAAAAGAAAACTTAAGATGAATCAAACTATGTAAGAATTTGCTTAAATCCTTGTGATACCAAAAACTGAAAATTCAAAGCTTCATTTTATTGGTTAAACTTGAAGTTGAGAATCTGCTTTTTAAAAAGTGTAATATTAAAGACTCCTGCCCTAATTAAGCAAAACAACAGCAGCTCACTGTTACTTGGGAAATCAGTACCCTTTCTTTCATCAGCGAGACTCCTGTGACATTAGGATTAGGTAAATGACTAATTGCTTTACTGGATTAAGGCTGTGGTACTCAGCACCTTGCAGCACGCAAATGTCGATAGCCTGAGGAAAAGTAAAAGCAGGACTGGCCTAAAACTTTCAGAAAATATTGTAGAAACTTGCACTGAAAATACAAGGTGGGTCAAAAAGGAAGTTCTAGGCTGCACCCAAAACACTATTTTTAAGTAACAAATCCTGTTGAAGATAGCTGAGCAGAACCAAAGACAGAGACTGAAGCTGTTAGCTTTTAAGGTTACATCTTCTGACACTGTCAATTACTATGGAATCTATTTCAACGGAAAAATGTATGGATTGAAGTATGGGTTTGATGATGGGATAAGTGTTGTCTACTCATATAATATCCTGGAAGATGCCAGCTGAGCTGGGGTTAAATACTGGATTAAATAACTGGCAAGAAATGACTGCTGAAGAAGCCATCTCAAATTACTAGTTCTGTGGTGTGTCTCCCACATGAAATCCCTAAAGGTCACGATGAAGGTTTCTCAAGGGATCTAAGAATACAGAACATTTACAGTGGGGTGGGGGAGAAGAAAACATGCATGCCTCAAACAAGCCTCGGTCAATGGGAAAGAGACTTCTGAGTACTTGCATGATTTGTTCAATGTCGGTACAGAGTACAGAACGGGAGCCAGCAGACAGCAAAGGAAACCACCACTGTCCCTGCTATTTTAGTTAACAATACTAATCTGCAATCAAGAGAAAAGCTTACATCAGAAAAGATAAATCCAGCTACTGGTAACAAAAATCAGTTCTTAGTTTGTAGCACAAACCTTTTTTTTTTTTTAAGAGAGATACAGAACTGAAGGAAACAAATCTAAACAAGAAGAGCTACCAGTACCACAAAAAGGTCATCCTCCCCAGATCAGTGACAACTCCGTGAGAACCACAGAGCTACTGCTGTCCATCTAATCTGGTTACCCACTGCAGCCCATATTTAATTCAGCTTGCAGAACAAAGTGCCAAGGAAGGACACCTTAACAGATTTTGCTCTTTGTTCAGCAGAGATACTTAATGTAGGTCTCAACAAGAAATGTTTCTTTTGCATGAGAGGAATACATTACAACAAGGTAAATACCTAGAAATTAATTCAGAAATAATCACATGCAAATAAGGAGAATGACATGCTCAATGCCAGGCTGCCCAGGCATATTCTTGAGAAAGATAAAATGGTCCAAAGTCACTTACCCCTTTCCTTTCAGTCCTTTCTTGAAGCACTTTCCAAGTAAATAGCAAAAAAAGGGCAGAGAATGGTAGAGTTCCATTTGCTTATAATTTAAGGCCAAGCAAAATGCCAGTGACCCCAAAAGGTCCCAGTCATAAGACAAATAAAGTACACCCCACAAGGCAAAGCCAAGGCTCACTGAGTTGTATATGGTTTTTTATGTCAAGGACAAGATACACATCTTCGTACTGGAAGTCAGTAATAAATGCCCTGAGGGACAAGCATAAAACAGCATGCAAAGTAAGTTTTTCCAAGTTAGTTTTAAAAACACATTGCCAGTTGTGATTATGTTGTTCAGACAGAAATAATTTTACTTCTAAAGTGTAACTTTTGTATTTCCAAGGTTTCATTCAAAGCTTGCATGGGCAAAAATGAGGACAAATACTGTGTGTGTATGTATGTCAATCGTACATGTAATGTATACTCAGTCAACGAAGCTTTTGGTGACAGTGGCACTACTTGGTAAGATACATCAGGGTGAATACTTTTTTCTTGGTATTTACACGATTAAGAATAAAGCTTTCAAGAGTCTCTCCTCCCAGCTCCCAAAAGATATGTGCAGAATATTCAAATACGTCAGTACTTAAATTATATATAATTTAGTTTAAGGACTCCTGAGGTTTTTGTGATTATATTATACTCACAATGCACCCCCATCCATGACCAGTTCCCTTATCTGCTAATACTGTACAAACAATGAATAATAGTTACTAAAAGCAACTTTACTTGTTTACGACTTTGAGAACAGGTTCCCAGGCTCAGTAGAGTTTGAAGAGACTAAGCTACACTTCAATATTAAATTGCAACAAGATATTAGCTTTGTCTTTTAGCATTATTTTTTACACAATGAGAGATACTGTGTTGTCAGAAATTTTACAATATTTTGTTTCCTCTTTGTCAGTATAAAAAACTGTGATAACACATTCAGATTGTCTACATTGTTTTCAGCCCACTCAAATTTCCCACTCAAAACTACCATGCATATTTGAAGTCTCATCAACAAATTGTTATACCAAAAGGCTGTGATCTTGCAGAGACCTGCAGCAGCAGTTAAGGTTAAGTAAATCTATTGACTTCTTGGGAGCTGGTCACAGATAGTGAAGTTATTCACACAAGAGTCACCGGGCTGGAAGAGACCACAGGAGACTACGCAGAACATTTGTCTGCTTCAACAGTCTCTGCTGTTCCTGTGTCATTCCTGACATGAGGTTTGCTGAACCTCTTCAAAAGATGTCGATGCTGCAGATTCCACAACATCCACAGACAATCTATTCCATAACTACGATTCAAAAGATTTTTCCATGTATTTAGAAACAACAAATATTCGCTGTGGTAACTTAGGGCCATTACTTCTTGCCCTATCCAAGATAAGACATGCAGAACAGATTATTGCCGCCTTCTTTGCATTTCTTTTACAGATTAGAAAATTGTAACCCTGTGCCACCTTCTGACCACCAGCTTCTCTCACCTAAGATGAACTGCACTCATTCCCATCCCCATTCTTGTAAGTGATGTCTCCCAACAATCTACATCTTTAGAGAGTCAGGCCAGAAATAGAATTTCAGAATTCCAGAACTGTAACTCAAATATTCAATAGGTTACGAATTTTTTTCCTTCAAAATCTGCTTTCTAAGATATATCACCTTCCAAATTCACCATGCACTCTCTTGGAAGAAAACCACAAATTAGTAAACTTTCTGATTGTCAAAACTTCAGTTAGTAGTAGATGCTGAGATTCAGTATCTCCTTGGAATATTTAAATATTGACATTTATTACAACTCCAGGATTGTGTCCCTCTGGCTCAACAGCACTGAGCAGCACAGCCTAGAGTAGTCAGCTAACAGTATTTGCTTGTTGAAGTGCAAAACAAGTACAAAACCAGAAATCTTATTAAAAGACCCACCTGTGAAGGTGTCTGCCACCAATATTGACTAGTTAGCTCTGACGGCCTAACTCGTATTAGATGTCTAGCTTTTAAATGGTCAGGCATTAAGTGACGTGAATCCAGTCTAAGTAATTGTAAAGGCAAGACAGAATGGCACATTTTATAGAACTGAACACAGTTTACACAACTACACTTGACATGCTTCTCTGCCATCTGGAAGAAGATCTAAGGTGATTCTCTTTCCAAATACAAATCATAGGAGTGCAAGCCATCATTCTTTTCACTGACATAGTACCATTGATGTTTTCTGCCATAAAGTAACTGACAGAAATACAAGCTCAAGGCACGGAAAGAATGCTATTCATGTTTGGATTGATTTGTCACAATATCAACTATCTTCAATATATTTCAGACTTACAGTTTTCTTTACTGAGGGGCAGAAGCTCCCCAGATGACTTCACATACAAAGGTAACCCTCTTCCAGCTAAAGACAGGTACTAAAGAACAGTGTTACTTCGTAAATAGAAATTCACTTCACTGCAGAACAAGGATACTGGAAGTGTCCATGGTCAATAAGAATGAGGCCTGGATAAAGCAGTATACAGAGAGCACTGGAAACCTGGAAATAAGGATCAAAAAAGAAGAGAGGGGAAAATAATCACTTTTAAGTTAGACATTAGACAAAGGTACTTCTCCAGTACACAAATGTGCCCCTCCATGGTGCATCCTGTATGTATGAATCATCTTCTCTACAACTAATCCTCTGTCAGTGATATTTTGAAGAATAAAAAAGGATAAAGATTTTCGATAAATAAGAAAATATTCAATGGAGACCAGCCTGCCCTTTGCCAACCAGCTCAAAGATCACCTACACCCATCTTAAATGTTGGAACCACTCCAAAAATCAGACTTATTATTCCAAAACATATTGGTTCTACCATAAGGAGTGTACAAGACAAAGCAGTTCCCAGACTTCCCCCATGTCACAGCACAAATCTTGCTTTTACTGTCCAAGTAATAAATTCAGAAAGAAATACAATTCAGGAGTTCATGGCTACTAAACTTCAGAGTATCTTGTTACTGTTGTTGAAAGCACTAGAATAATTGCTGTATGATAAGTTAATGGATTTTTTTTTCTTTTTAACTGAAAAGCCTTCAATACAATATACTGATTGTCATCAATTTTACATCAACTGAAGCCATCGCCATGTTCCATATTTTAATTAACTCTCATACTGTTACATTTCTACCCTGTTTTAAACAGTATGTTTTCTTTGTTTCTTAATTTGCATACACACCAGATACTTGCCTTCTTTTTAGTAGATGTTTCTTTCAAGGAAAAACAATATAAAATAACTGCAGGAATATAAACCAGCAAATCAGCCACAAACACTGAAAAATAAAGATTAACTTTACGTTAGAATCCTCCCACATACCTCAACTTAATGCTATTCAAGTTATGTATTTTCATCCAGATTGTGAATCTTTGACTCTGCTTAATGCTCCGCATCTTAGTTGTAATTTGGTGTAAAAAAAATATTATAACTACACAGACACTGGTTACCTACCATTCGAATGTGGGGTTTGCACCTATATCCTCACTGAAAACTTCACTTTAGCCATTCAATTCAACAGTTCAAAAAATCACATGACTACAGTTTCAGTTGAATATGCTTTTCTGTTGTCTTACATTGTGTTACAGTATGTTTCATTGTTTTAAAGATAGCTCAGGTTTGGCAGTTACACCAAAGCTACTTTTTTTCATTTGTTTTGGGAAAGACAAGGAAAAAAATATAGGCAAATAAACATTAAAATATCAGTAAGTTCTTCATTAGAATAAACTGGGTAGTTCCACTTCAAAGGACAAAAAGAAATAGGTCTACAGAATTTGATCTTGTTAATGTTTCTAATGCTATCATTTCTGATGTCCAAAAGCTGCTGCTTCCATGCGTTCAGCTGTTTTGGCTTCTGGCACAGCCTCAGTCAATAAGGGAGGACACTAGTTCCTCACATGCCGAAATAAGAGAAGGCATTCTTAATTCTCAAAAGAAATCAACTACGACTAGATCCAGTCAGGTTGTTTGACAGAACTGATAGTCTGGAGACACAATTAAGAAGCTCTAGATCATAATGATCTCCAAATTATCTGTGTAAATTACTAGTGATGTGGATAAATAGACTAAAACTCGGGTTTTGGCTTTGATCATCTGCCTACAGCAAATATATGTAAGAGGGTTGACAAGAAAACAGAATTTTAGGCAGGTGAACCAGCTGGTTATGTCAACTCCTGCTCATGCTTAAACCACTAGATGAATTCTTCTTGAGTGCTGTCTCAAGAGCCTGAGAAAAAAAATCACAGATTATTTCTATAAACCAGTTTCAGAAAATGTGCAATTATTCCAAGAGGGAAAGTATACTTTGCCTCTTTTTAGTCATGGGCTTTGGAAGAAAATGTTTAAAGATATCAGTTATTCAGTGGTGAATTGTTTTGCAGGCGTAAGCCACAATTAAACAAATATACCCAAGGTGTTAGCAAAACAAATACACTGACACTTAAAATAAAGGTGTAATACCAACATCTGACATTGACCATTCTGAATTATTTTAATGCATTCTTCTAATGGCTATTGTTAAAAAGCGTTTATCAGTTCTACTAGATTCATCAGCGGTTTGTCAAGTGAGTTGATTTCAAAATTAATAAAGACCATTTCAAGGGTAATTAAGTTCTAGTGATTTTTTTTTCCAATCAATTACTAGAGACCAGACTGAGAGGTTTGTGAAGTACAGAAAAGCTATTGATGAACAACAAATTCTGCTGTTGCAATTGGAAAGCATTTTGTGGAACTCTAGCGTTACACAAAGCAAAAGACATTTAAAATAAAAGAAAATAATAACAGCATAATAGGACATGTGCCATTGCTTAGAGAACAAGAGCTCACTGGCCTCGTTGTTTGCTGTCCTACTGATACAGCTACTGAATTAAGTTATCTACAAATTTCTTCCTGCACTTGTTTTATCCTTTTATTTGTAGAGGTAGCTCAAAATAATCAAATGGTCATAAAAGTGACTGCAGAAAAATGAAATTTAGGACAAAAGTGATAAAACATATTTGTGCTTTTTTTGTGAACAGACGTATCTCCAGGAAGTGGTGATCATTTGGAAGAAAAGCGACATCTTTAAAAAGATCAAATGTCTCTCCCTTTCAGATAAAGTATACAGCTCATAATAAAGATCTCCAAGACCTCAAGAGGCTGTTAAGTCAGTGAACGCCAGTCTACGTGCAAAATAATTTTACAATAAAAACCAATCTAAGCTGAAAATGAAACGTGTATTTATCAGAATGGAAGGGAAAAAAACAATACTATTTGCAAAATTAAGAAATGGGTGTATGCTACAATAAAAGTAGTTTTGTTTTAAAGAGTTTTTACTGAATCAATTGGGTTGAAAACTTGTTCATATATTTTATATTTATCAGCTTCACAAACGATGGCAGAAGAGAAAAAGAACAAAGGAGTTCTGTTCATAAATGGACCTGCAAAGCCACCCAAGTCAAAGAACTGAGAATAAACTGGTGAAGACAGAGAAGCTGCACGATATTAAACATGCTAAATTAGTGAGACATATCTGCATGATAATCCTAAGGAAATATAACTTTCCTACCTGTTGTACGCATAAATAACTTATGTGGCTGACTCTCATACCCCCGAGATGTGTGCAGAGCAATCCAATCAGGATTTATTAACTTTGCACTGTAAAACAAAGTACAGACACATCAAAATGTAGACAGTTCTCATTTCCCTTTACACTCCTTTCAGCAATAAAGATGACACACACAGGAGCATATTCCAAGAATTAAGATGAATGAGAAGAAGTATTTCAAAGAGCAATAGTGATCAATGAAGGATTTTCCTCACCACTAAACCAGTTTACATTATAGTCTCTATCTGCTACTTCACAATTAAAAAAAAAAATATCTTTGAAAACAGTAAAAATGGAATACAATATTTATTAAGACAAGATAGCCACCTTCGGTGTAGTTCCACTGACTTTAAAAAAAACAATTGTAAATACCTTTCATACTTAAGTATTAAATATAAACCATTTACAGTTCACATAGATGCCCCACATAGCTGTGCCCGTGCACTTTAACCTACATTCTTATTCCATAAGTCTCATTCCAACAGCAGTAAAGCCCTTGTGGAAAAAGTATTCCAATAACAGAATTCTATTTACATGATATCCAGTCATCAGATGTCACTTGGGCTCTCAATACACGAGAGCTTTCCCATGCAATGCACCCAATTCCTACAGCACTTTTCTCTGTGCATCACTGATCCAATAGTGGCTTATATACAAAGCTAAAGATCTAAGTCACATCTAAATCTGCTAAAATTTGTGGACCTGGCAAAAAGAAGAATGTAACCCTTCAGTCCCCCCTGCAATAATTATGAGACAGAAAAACAGCAATATTAGTTTTAAGCAATAGGGATACACATAAAAATCTATTTCCCCAGCTTTAAAGTAGCGAACAATACCTTCTCTTTCATCAGCTGCCCAGATTGGTAGTTTTTAGCTACCAGTTTCTCTCCTCAGGAGCCAAAGAAAAAAAAAAAGTGAGGAAAGAAAAACAAACAAACAAACAAACAACACCAAAAAAAGAGGGGTGAACTGGTGTTTTGTATTCTCTACAGAAGTATATAAAATAACAAACTTACATGTAAGCACACACAAAACTGTGATAGGCAGTAAGAGGTGGATAATCAAGGCCCCAGTACAATAGGTTGTTATCACTTGTATTGAAGTACCTAAAAAAAACAAAAAATTAAAGAAGGATCTACATTTGCAGCTTTGTTTCAGCCCAAGGAAAAGACTGAATATTAAACCAAACATTTTTATCAACATATTCAAAATCCAATATCAAAGATAGCAACTTCTATAACTGCTTTATTTAACTTCACACAAAAAATAAAACCTCAAGCAACAAAACAAAATCGCAAGTGATTCAGCGTACACCCACTTCTGTTTGCAAAACAGATTTTAAAAAGCTGCTAAAGCTTACTTACCTGGAGAGGGAAAATCCTGGATGTGAAGAGTTTGACAAAAATTCAGAGACTGCACAAAAATAGTTGTATATAGCTACTGTAGCTCTCTGTTTACATGGTAGGTTTTACAGATCCTCACCTCCATCTACAAACCAAATCTACATTTGCATACACGTCAATTATTCCAGATGACAGCGGTCAATTTGCCAAAAAGGAAAACAAATGCAGTTAAAATGAACTTTCAAAAGAAATGGAATTCACTAGTGATTTTTCCTTATATTAATTCCAGATTTCCTTTTTTTTCTGGTCTTGCACAGCACACAATATGTGACAATGACTTCTGAAGAGTTAAACTTTATCTGCTACTCTTTTAGACCGTAACGCAGCAAAGTTGTGAACTACTACTACTCAACAGAGCTTAATAAGAAAATTCTGAAAAAACATCAGTTGAAGTTACACTGCCGGAAAGAGGAAAAGGGTGGCATGAAAATACTACACAGACAAACAAAAAGCAGCACAGGTCTGGAAGAAAACTATGCCACAGCAGGTGCACCTAGGCAATTCTGTCAGCACGAATGTAGGAGTCAGGAGGCTAAAATGTTCCTTAGAAGGCAACACCGAGTTATCAGAGTAACACCTCCCAAAAAAACAACTATAGGTCATGAACCTCAGTCAGACATGTCAGCCACAACCACTTGACTTAGTTCTACCTCAAAACTCAGGCAGACCACATGAGAGAAAGGAAAAGGATTTTCTCATTTGTAATTCATTGTGTTGTGTTGGTATTTCTATGGAAGGCTGGCAGCAGTTAAAACTAAGTCACCTCTTCCAAATGAGAAACAGAAGCTTTTATCCAAGGAAAACAGAAGTTACCAAAAGAAGGCATTGGACCCTTTATATCTTACAGTGAAACAGACTGACCCATCTACTCTTACTTCCACAGGGGGAAGCTTTGGCCTTCCCAGTTTCTCTCTTCAAATGCAACCAATTTTTGGCATTTATTATAGTGAACTGTATTTCTTGAATTCCTTATGAGCTGCCTGAAGTATCTCATGAACTGATGATAAATCATATTTCTTCGAGTTGCATCTCTGCTTCTCATCCTACAATTCAAGATTGCTCATGCCAAGGCAGTTCAGATTCTTCATGCAGATTGTAATATTCTGCAACTTAGTAGTTAAAAACAACCACAAAACTGGAAAATTTAATTTTACCTTCCATAAATTCATAGTTTTAACAGAAAACACAATCCCTATACCCAGTAGTATTTATCAAAAAAGCCTCCAGAGTTTTAATTAGCAGTATAGTAAGAAAGGATGTTCTTAAAGTAGCCTTTAGTAAATAACGTTAAAGCTCTAAAGAATAATACAAAAAAAGAAACATTTAAATTCTGGCCTCTGGCTCAGAGAAATCTCATACAAGGAAACAAAGTACAAACCGTATTGTAGTTTACTGCAGCATTTTTTTTTTTTAGTAAACCTTTGGTTTGGATCAAAGAAAATAACTATGGAACATGCAGCTGCATTACCTATGCATACCTGTTTAACAGTAAATGTGACAACTAAATCTGTGAAAAGATCAAGAAATCTTATAGGACTATGTCCTCGCAAGAGACTTACTCTCTATATTTACCTAGTCAAATTTACAGACGAAGATGCTGCATAGACAGCTTTTCTAAATACTAAACAAGTAACAACACTAAAAGCTATTAGAATCTCAACTTCAAATTTGAACACTATTTTTACGTACAGGAGCATCACATCTTTTCACACTGCGTATTTCTATAATACAGGAGGAGAAAGACAGCTTGGTATTCTAGAATGTAATCCCTTGCATGTCAGCCGAGATGTTCTTTTCCAAACGCCCAATACTGAATACGACTTTGCTGTACTACAGATTCAATTCCTTAAAGCAGACCCAATCCAAAAAACTTCTGTTATAAATAAAACAAAGTGCAAATACAACAAGACTGAGATGTCCAGCTGGCAGCCCATAGGCTAAACCCAGCCTGCAATATAGTTTCATCTGGCCCCTGAGAATGCCTAGAAATAATGACTGCTATAACTATTAATTTTAAGTACATATAGTTCCGCACAGCAGAGTGGATCAAAGCTGCCAACTCTATTATTGTGTCAGCTCTCCATTATCCCAACTCTGCACAGTAAGGGGTTTGGATACCCCAGAAAAACGTAGAAGAGAAATGATAATATAGATACAACAGGATGTTCTAAAGTCACAATAGAGAGTCATCTGCAGAGTTCCACAGAATGCCATACTTTCAGAATTGGCCCCGCATTTATTCAGAGAAATACAGTTGAATTAATATTCTATTTTGTTATATTGGTCTGTTCCCCAACAGATACCTGAGGAAAAAATTACACCGAAGAGAATGCCACTATCCCTGTTGGAAGATAACCTGGAGTTCCAGTGTATTCCAACTTGTGTTGCAGCATATATATGTACTAAATTTTTACTGTTCCATACAAGCTCTAAGGAATATTAGGAATAATGTAAAAATAAATAAAAAATTTGGAGTAATTTTCCTACTGTTTTAAGCGATCCGTACAAGTTATGTTCACTATCCTTACATCTAGATTCCAGACACCCACACTTTAAAATATATATTAAGAACATGGATATGAACAATGAACTCGCAGGTGTAAAAAACCACCAGTGCCCCCGGCACAAGAATTAACGTCTCTGCAATGACTGGCATGACCTTGCCTTTTAGCTTAGGGGAGACCTGCAGAGTTTGTTTTGGTTTTGTCAGTGCTGATAATTATGAAAGTTTTTGTGTATTAGAGAACTGGAACTCAGGAAGCTGAACTACTTTTTTTCTAAACTAGAGCTCTGAACTCTTACATAAAAAATTGCTTTTTGATCTTTCCCGTCAATTCAAAACAAAGTTGGAGCATCACAACAGACACACCTACTAGTCAGAATATTTTGTTATACAAGCTAGCAAGTCAAAATTCAAAATATTAGCTTTTTTTCTTTTTTGTGAAGAAAATGGTACCTCAGTCTAAGAACTACAGTACTCCAACATGTTTTCAGAACAGTTCAGAGAACAGTAAAAGATGTTGCAGAGATCTTAAACTTGAAGGTGTATTAAAGTAAGATACGAACCAAAGTTTCATCACATTTACCCCTTTGTAACCTGCACTATGATAGCACTACGTACCACTGCCTGATGGGTAAATTGTAAGTAACTTCTTGCCAGTGTCTCTGAGCTTCATAGTCTCCGTACATAGGTGGCTTTCCTGCACCTAAAAAGAGATTATAGAGTATTTAGGAATTTATTCAGTTTATGCAGATTGCATTTCCTCTAGAAATGTATTTGCATATTAGTATACTACTAATTTTATTTATCATTCTTGTCTGATATTTGAGAACAAAATAGAGACCTCATCTGCTATGCAGTCTAATAGGGAAAAAAAGTTATGTGTTCTTTTGGCTTTCTGGATATTTCTGCGATAAGCATTTATCAAGACATTCCACTGTGAAGAACTACTTCCTCATCTGACAAAAAAATTATTTCCAAGCGTAGATGAAAAATGTGGCGCTTTCTCTGAAATAAGAAAGCATACATAATGGACATCTCATACCGATTTTGCATGAACTACTACACTTCCTTAGTATATAATAATTGACAATGTTCTCACTTGTGTTTCAGATGTGTCATGGTACCTTGCTATTAAAAGTAACAACCAGCCTTATTTTTAATTTTACTTAGAACTAGGACCTGCTGCAAGTCCCCCAGCTCCTCTCCCTTTCCTATGTTGCCTGCTTTGCAACACGAGGAAGAACACTGCATCCGTCCCTTTCCCCATGATTCTTAATAAAGAGTTAAGATGAGCCATTTACTGAATTAGGCCATTCAGTAGCCAGGTTTAGAAGAATTTTTGCTTATAATCTACAAAGCTGTCTTAAAAACTGTTCCATTTTGGTTTACAGGAATTCTCTCTCATACACTTTTCAACTGACTGATTGTTATGTAGGAGTTCTGCAAAGTGAATTACATTAAAGGACACTTTTCACACATGCATACGTAAGTCTCTCAGGAAACTAAGAATTCCCCACCCCGGAAAAAAGCTTTATCAATGCAAATACTTCAGATCATAAGTCTCTCAGGAAACTAAGAATTTCCCCCCACCCCCAGAAAAAAGCTTTATCAATGCAAATACTTCAGATGCCTACTCATAAACAATTTCCTCAACATAAGACTAACTCTGATAATGGCAGTATGTTAAGCATCTTTATCACAGAGTTTATTTACTTCTATTAACCTGTGCCTATTGAGAACAGAAACTGGACTAATAGTACTTCCAGCAAAATATTGACACTAGCCAGACAGAGATTTAAGAGTTTCTTTAAAATATAGGAAAGCCATCTATATTTTTTTCACATGATCTATGTTTGTGGGAGTCACACAAGCTCAGAAGAAATGAACTGGCTTCAGAATGATCAAAAGAGATCTTAATCCAGAGGGGTTCAATTACTAAAAGCCAAATACAGAGACTGATCGCACATCAGTTAGTTTGAGAAGGCATATCTGGCTTCCGTCTACAGCAAGAATCATGTATACAGCCAAACAGAATTCAGAATTAATAAAAATGGTGTATTTTATTTTAAAAGGGTCACAAATATTTTAAATTTGAATGGTCTTATTCAGTTTTATTGTTACCTGCAAAAAGACATTTTTAAGGGTCTGAACCTACCTTTCAACACAGATATTTAGCTTCTATTCATTTAGCAGCAGTTTGGCAATGCATTTAAGAGAAAAGTATACATTAATCTATAAAGTCAAATTTTTCCTCAATAATTCTCCAACACCAACTAATCTAAGGTCATTGTAAACAGCAGCCTTTCAAAACTAGGTATTAGTTATCTGTTTTCGCACCATCCTGACCCTACCTCCAGAGGCAGATCCAAAAGCATGCGAGATGACAAGCAACAGAATAGAAATGATACAGCAAACCAACATTATACAGTAAATGAGAGCAGAATTAACCTCCTCACTTCTGGCTATCTGTGCCATGCGTGGTTTCAGAGTATGCCGAATCAGCATTTCTACCAGAGTCTGCTTCAGAGAATGATGACTACTTCTAATCCTTTGCTCAATTTTACTGCACTGAGCAGCAGTGAAAGCAAAACAACAGGACCACATCAGTTTAAACATTACCCTGCCAATTTTTTTTTCTGCTCCTGTCATTGAAAAAAAAAAAGAATGTGCAGAGCAAGCTTCGTGCAAGCTTATGATAAGCATAGAAATGGCATTGAGAGGTTTGGAAGAAAACTTGCTAGTTCTTTGCAAGCATTATGAGATGGGGAGGAGAAAATCTCATCTATTAAAAGATTATAGCTCTAGTTCATGCTGTAAACAATCTTAAGATCTTAAGTATAGCTACAAGGCAGAGCATAATCGCTCAATCCACGTCACCTTTACACCATCTTCATTACCACCAGTACAGTTTTATCTAAATATAAATTAAGGCTATATTTGTTACAGAGCTTAAAGGACAAGATTAAACAAATGTACAATTGGACTGCAATAATATTCTGCAGCTACTGAAACAACAAAGGCATAGGGGTGAACAGCCAGCTGTTCTTTGGCTTTTCCTAAAACATTACTGACTGTCACCTCCTCCCTGCCAAAAAAAAAAAAAAAAAAAAAAAAAAAAGCTGGGGGGGGGTTCAGCACTTTGTTCCAAGTGGCTGTGATGTTAATCATCGCACGCTTCAGAAAAATAAGAACAAGGTATTATACAAACCTTAGGGAAATAGAGAGGCACTAAAATATGACAATACTTGAAATAACACATTGCTTCCTATTTACAATTTTACATGCAAGCTTATTTTAATTTATCACAAGCTCCATAATTCACCTTCCCGTAGTTGCGTTACAGACCATGAACATGCATTACCTGAATAAGAACCAAGTGATACAGTCCAGCGTACAGTAAGTGCTAGTAAAACAGTAATTGTCATTAAGCTCCACTTCTCCATAGCTGGTCCTTGTAACAAGCCAAAAGGTACCTGAAAAAAAAAAAAAAAAAAACAGCATAAACATTGCTATAATACTGTCCCTGGTTTTGTTCCTTAGGCATTTAATGGCACTATTGATATTCCCGGTTTTCTCCCCACCCAGAAGTATTCTGTTACTATCTTGCGTCTGGAAGCACAGTGCAGTCAAGGAGGGGTTTTAAGTACTGAAGAATTTCTAACCATAAAGCCAAATGCTGCCCAGAAGCAATTTCTCCTAATTCTGAGCTAGAAGCTGAAAAGGCATCTGACAAAATGCAAAAAAAAAAAAACCAACAGCAAGAAGAAGGGTGAAAGATTTCAAACCACTTAAAAGAATTCAGATACCAGATCAACACTATGATGCACATACACATACATAATTAAGCATCACCTTAATAAGCTCCACACCATTTGCTATGCAAACATGTAGAATATTCTTTTGTCACTTACAGGCAAAACATGCTACAAGAAACCAGTAGAAAAGATGGTAGCAGTAGTCAAAACAGCCATGCCAACCATGGACGTTAAGTAGCTCACAAACTAGTTATTTGCCACTGAACAAGAAAAACCTCTTAGAATTAGTCTGTAAAAATGCCTAGATTAATAACTCACTAGAAAAAGAAGTTATTGTTAACAAGCATACGATTTTAAAAAGGGAGTAAATGTCCCAGTATTAAGTTAATGCCATTTATTTTCTCAATTAAGAACATCACAGCCAAATTATGCAAAATGCAGATCTGGTATAGGCTTCTCTGTTGGTTTAAACATATTAAAAAATGCTTTAAAAGTTAGCTAGGTACTGGCAAGTCTTATGCTGGACCAGGTACTGTCTGTTCTCCTACAGCCATTATAGAGGCACAGAGCCCATCATAAACTCTATCATGTGTTCTGACTAATTCTACAGGAATACAGTCATGAGCCGGTACCTAATTAAAAAATTAAATGCATACTGCCAACCTAGGAATGCAAACATCTGGCATTAGTGATGAAAAATCCCCAATCTGAATCTTATTTCAGTCTCCCAATATTCAAAAAGGGGCTTGAAATTCTACCTCTCCCTTCCCAAGCATAAGCACACCATCCCTCAGCTACCTCTCCCTAGAGGATTCACCAGATGAAACCTACCAGGCTCAAGATCTCCTCCATTCTTCTACCCAAAAAGGCAGGGCTGATCTCCCACCAAGCTTGCTTGACCATACTAAGGATCCAGAAACAGTAAGAAACATTGCTAGATCCATCAAATTAAAGGCCATGTTCATCAAACTCAGAAATCGATAAACAGGAAAGGAATTATGTTGCTCTATGCAAAAGACCACTAAGTACAGAATATGCAAACTTTGACCCCCAGAATCAAAAACATTTTAGTCTAAGTTAGAAAAAAAAAATTGAAAAAGAAATCACTGCAATCTTGACAGTGAGAGACAGCAGTGAATCCAAAGGCTATACTTTTGCCAAATCAGCAGCAGTAGGACCATTCCCTCCACAGTCAGCAACAGATACATTACAGAGGAGCGGATGAGCCTGGGTACAACTGCCAAACACCCTCCTTGCAGCAGAGACATCACCAGATTTAAGTGAGTTTAATACACTTGCCACTGCCAAAAAAAAGGCAACAAAAAAAATTCCACACAGCAGCAGTACTGAACTGGTGGTTTAGTAACGGACAAGCAACATCTAAGCCATATTTAGGTTATTCTGCTCGAACTAAATCTGTATTTATTTACTATTCACAGAAAGGGATGACCCAACTCCATCACCAAGGGAAAAAAATAAAGTTACTTTAACAATATAAATCTATGACAGCAGTAGATCACCATCTATAGGTAGAAACGTGAACACTGATACTTGCATGCTTTCAATGCTACACCTAAACCATAGGATTGGCACATTTATCTAAATAGTGAGGTCGACTTCGTAGATCATTTTACCCTGAGTGAACTCTTGTGCTTCCTAAACTGGGGTCCAATAAGACCAGAGTCCTATATGACTTCCAAAAAAAAGTGTCACAGGCCTGGCCTTTCCCTTCTATAAAATACTCACATCTGCCCTTCCTTTCTATCTCCAGTTAGAACAATTATTAATTAATTATACCTTCTTAATTCCTGCATAATGCAGGTCTCACCTACAGACAGACTCCCCTAGCTCTGTTCCTCTCATTCCCTTTTGACATTCCCTACCTTTGCAGTAACTGCCGCTTTCTGAGGTATTGAGTTTTTTCTTTCTCTCCTCTTGAAAGTCATTCTTAAAATATTCTTCCCTACTTCTTTTTCATCCTTAATAGTTATTCCATACCTCCTGTAACAAAAGCCATGCTCTTACTAGATTCTAAAGCACGGATGTTTAATTTTTGCTATCCTGTGAGTAACAACGTTAAACAAGTAAGGTCAGTCCCCAACTTTTCACCTTCTGCCTCTGGACAGGCAACGCTAGAGTGTCTCTCAAGCAAGATGCCATCTATAAGTGGAAGGTGAAAAATCACAGCTCCAAAAAACCACTATCCCTCCACGGTGCCTACTATGAAGATTCGGATAAACAGCACGTACACAAACCACCCACTCCTTGCCAAAGGGAAACTTACAGGACTCAAGTCATAGATGCACGACCCTTACTATAACTTGTTTTAAAAGAGATGTCAGCACACAGCTCAGCAGCATCCTTTCCTTCCTCAAAAACGCAAACGCTAAATTAAGAATTTCACTTGTTGTAGTAATACCCGTCCTATAAGCCTACTGCTTCCTTGCTCCTTGTCAGAAGACCTATTTATTGCTCAGATTTCCTCATGCATCCACCCTCTGTTCCCAGCCGCCGCAGAGGCACGAGGGCGAGCTGCTGCAGAGGGACATGCGCTCGGGCCTCCCTGCTGACC